ACAAATGAGACCATAGACATAACTGCACCAATCATAGTCACAGAAATACTTAACCATTTCTTGAGAAAGAAAAGTCAAGTATTCTGTTGTCACCGTCTTAGATGAAACAGATTCAAAAAAGCGGCAATAAATCATCAGCACATACATATTCACCCACCTAGAATCAAACTTCTCTGCTCCCATACAAGTCTCAAATTCTCAAAAGCAACGGTCCCCTTCCCAGTTTTACTGAAACCATAATCTTTACCAAGGTTAGAATTCACCTTTGATGTTTTCTGCAAAGACACAACATTTGGTCCCCTTGGAAGGCCATAAACTCTGTAAACATCCTCTCCGTAATGCAAATATTCTTTCCATCATCCAAGTTGATACACTTATTCTTCCCATCCCACCTTGAAATAATGAACTTAATAAGTTCATTGTCCAGATTCTTCATCTTCATCAAAAACACAAAATCCAAGCCCAGCTGCTTAATTAATTGTACCCTGCCATGAGATAAAGGAGGCAGAGCATGACTCAAATCTCTTTCGGGCTGCATCGATAGTTCAAAGCAGCTTCATTTCCTCACCCCGGAGCTCGCTTCTGCCTTTTTCCACGAGCTGCTGCCTTCTGCTTCTCTCCAGCAACAACCTTTCTTTTCCTTTTCCCTGTATCAGAAATTTGAACTTCCTTCCCCTTATTCTTAAGGTTCTCCCCCTTCCTCTTGGTTTTAGTAACTTCAGCTTCAGCAGCTTGGGTACTTGACCCTCCCACCTCTGAACCTTCTACCATCCTTACTTAAAAGCTACAAAAGCAACAACAGAACAAGTCAACCAACAAATACAATAAAGCATACAAACTATACAATAAAAAAACAATACGAAGCAGAATCATAAAAATAACAAACCATACGAAGCAAAGTAATAAACTGTACAAACCGCACAAAGTGTACAAACTGTATGAACATGAGAAACAAAGTGTCCAAACTGTATGAACCACGAAGAGTACAAACAGAGGTATGAAAACACACAAACTAAACAATCAATACAAGCAAACCCAAAAAGTATACAACCAACCCATTCCAACAATACAAATCCTACATTAAACTAAACAATCATTACAAGCAAATCACTAAAACTCTCCAAATCAACCCACAATTAGAAATGTGATTCTGACCTAGCATCAAAACCGGTTAGGATTTTAAAGAATCGCCGAAATAAGAAATGCGGTTTTGACTTACTCCAAAAGCGGTCTTCAGAAAGAATCGTCGGCGTCGGCGCAGACGGAGAAGCGAGAAGAAAGCTTGCCGAGTTGAGCGCGACACACCGCCGACGCAAAGGGGAAAAATGGAAACCGCCGGATGAAACTCAGCAACCGCAGACGGAGCCGCTGAAACAGAGAGCGATTCTCGATGGAAACCGCTGGACAAGGAAGAGCGCTGACGCAAAGGGGAAAAATGGAAACCGCCGGATGAAACTTAGCAACCACTGAAACAGAGAGCGACTCTCGATGGAAACCGCCAGACGAGGAAGAACGCCGGCGAAACTGACGAATTTGTAGACGGAACTGGCGAATTTGTAGATCTGGAAAAATGGTGGAGACGGAGATGAAGGACTCTCTCCCGTGAAGAAATGAAGTCTGTGATTCTCTCTCCTCTCCACAAACAGCTTTTATATTCATATAAAATAACGATTTTTTTAAATAAAACCTAAATGACCATAACCCCCCCCCCTAGTCACCAGATCTTGGCCCTAAGCAATCTAACTCTTTTTGTTCTCTTTATAAAACACGCGTCAAACAATGTGCTCTATTATATGGTTTGGAATAATTATGATAAAAAAAGAAAGATTCATTCTCATGTGTTTAATTCGTTTATTTAGACTTTGATTATTTTTATTACTTTAGACACACAATCGAAACTCAATACATTAATTATCTATGTTTTAAATTTTATCGTTAAAACTCAATACTCCATAAATATAATTAGTGTTATACATAATGGAGGTCTTGGAGGTCCTATATGAGAGGGCATCGCCGCACACCCACAAGGTAGACCCTTGACACGCTATGACACAACATCAAACTGCGACCAAGTATAATCGCAGTCCGGAAATGCAGAATAGTGGCAAGTTCAATTTATCAACCCGGGGTCTAGATCTACTGCCTAATCCGTGATGATCTATTATCTAGCGGGACTAGGTTTAGTGAGAGTGATTGTAAACAAAAGCCATAAGAAAGCATGAAATTATTTGGTTTTCAAAAGCAAGGGGAGAGTCACTCAGCAATGAGTCCCCCTAGCTCCTTAATTAGGTCCAAGTTGTAATTTTCTTTGGTTGATTTACTATTGATTAAACTGTGAAAGATCCGACAGTAGCTTGGAATCTCTTAAGCTGACCAAGCCCTCTCAGACAGACTAACCGGCAAGCGACTAGCCTTCATCGGGATAGACTGCTGAGGCAATTAACACAGAACTCCACTACTGGAATTAGATTGCAATACAAAGCAGTGAATCGACTAACTCTCGTATAATCAATTCACTACTACCGATTGAAGAAGCTCTAACAACGTAACCAGATTATATCTATCTCAGGTTGCAGCAAAAATCAAGAAAAGTTGATCAGGCTTCAATTGACTCAATAAACACACTTCAATCTATTATAATCAAGCAGTATCTCAAACCAAAAGTCATTACAAGCATGATCTCTAACACATGGAACTAGGGTTCTTTATACCCAAGTGAGAGAAGGGTCTACTCCATAGAGAGAGAGAGAGAGAGAGGGAAATATAATTCAAAGTAGTCATACTCATAATGATGGGAAGAATCTGCTCTGGGATGATAATCTTCACTCCAATGAAGAAATCCAAGCTTGATTGATGAAACTCAGCTCCAAAATCAATCCTAGGGTTTGTTCTTCGCACTTTCTCTCTTTAGGACTCTGTTTTTTCTCTGAAAATTCGTCCCTCTTCAAAGACCCGAAATTGGGTTAAGAAGCAACTGTCCGCGATTGCACGGCCAGACCCCACGGCCGTGCAACCTCATATTCTGCCCGTGCACCCCTAAAATGCGTCGTGTCATTTAATTCCACCAGGGGGCACACGGCCAGTGCACGGCCCGTGCAATGCGAGAGTCTGGTCGTGCAATCCTCTAGCAGAAATCAACACGGCCACCAATTCATATCGCATGGCCGTGCGCAAAACATTGCCAGGCCGTGCAGCTTCTCGGTAAATCCTACACGGCCACAAAGGCCACCATGCACGGTCGTGTGCTTTCCCGTCCTCGCTGTGCAACTTGTCTGATCTCCCTTCGCTCGTCACGATTTCACCCAATCGACTCCAAACTCGTGCTCAAACCTTCATTCAAGCATTAAGACCTGAAATGTCATAAACAAGAACAACCTAGCATAAAATCGGCTTAAAACCCGAGATCCGAGCCTCAAACAGTACAAGAATGGCGAACAAAAACATGTGTAAATATCGAGTCGTCAACCCTCCTAATAACAACACCTTGTGAACTAGCTAAATACATATAAGAAACATGTTGGCTTGTAGAACCGATAAAATTGCCAACTAGCTACAATAGTGATCGGTTCATTTGCTTGGATAGTCAAGAATGAACTAGACGATAAATCTCGATTTTACTAGTTTTTTGGCTCATTGTTCTAACTAGAAAAGGAATTTTAAGGAAAAAATATTATCTCGTGAACTGAGGCCAACCAAACATGATTGCTAATTTTATTTATATTTCTTCGTTTGCTAGCCTCCTTGTCGCCCTTGCATGATTCGTTGTCGCCTGCAACCTTAGTCACTAATTCGAATCTGATAGAATTGTATGATTTCTTTGGTTAAGGTATTTTGAATGATTTGTTATGACTTTTAACGATGTATTATATAGATTTTGAGTTTACATTGGTGCCAACTTTATTTTTAAATTAATACATTATACATATGAAAACGACTGTCGTACTTAGAGAGTTTACGATACTCTAAGTGATTTAATTGGTGGATGTACGTAGTCGTATTTTGACAAATTGGAATCTTCGACTATTACATTTGATTAAATTGATCTTCAAGTTTGGGTTAGAGAATCAGGTTCAATTAAAATTTAAGGTATACAACATACTCCAAACTCGAATTAATTTATGGTCTAGGTATTTCGCGCGAGATGGAGTTAGCCCAAGAAAATATAAGGTTAAATACAATATATTAGCCAGACCTACTAAGAAATAGGGAATAATAGCCACAACTATCGAAATACAAATTATTAGCCAAACGTTAACTCTTTGTTAACAATTTCGTTAGATATGATGCTGACTAAGCTTTGCGATGTTAGGCTGGCTCCCACGTGGTAATCACCATATAATATTTTAATATTTTTAATTTCAAAATAAATTATTAAATAATTAAGAAAATGGAAGAAAAAACCTCAGTTCTATTTATTGGTCTGAGCAAGATCCAACTTATTTGAAATTAATTGAATGAACAATTAAAAAAACAAAAACCTATGTTGAATTCCCACTCTACTCTTTAATTTAATTTAATGGGTTCATCTTTGATTAGATAGAAAGAGAAAAAGTTCTGGAAAGAAAGAGCTTTCTCCCTTTCCGGAGAGATGGTGGAAGGATTTCTGTGTACTCCCCCCATGAAAGTTTTCCAACCCACCCGAGGCACTCGATCGAATAGCTAGGTCATATTCTATGGTTACGATTCTATCATATATGTCTTTTTCATTCCGTGAAAATCGATTTTACGGTATAGACGCTTATGATCTCCCCTTCTATGCCTTGCGGTAATGATTCCTCTAGCATTACGGCCTTTACCACAACGATGGTGTCCATAGATCAAATTATTTCGTGTATTTTCACTTGACTGTCTACGACTCCATTGCGTGTGCTCGGGGTAGAAGTTCTGTATAATATTTTAATATATTTAATTTGAAAATAAATTATTAAATAATTAAGAAAATGGAAGAAAAATAAATATATCCTAAAAAGGCTGGAATCTTCTTCTTCCTCCGCACAGATACCTCTTCTTCTTCCTCCGCCAAGATCCGCCAGCGCTGTGTCACTCCCTCCGCCTCCATCCAGACACCCAGCTGCTCTCACTTGATATTTTACTCTCCTCTCTGGAAACCAACAAAACCAAGAAAGAAAAATCCCACCCTTCTCTGGATCTCATCCCTACTTCGTCTACCTTTCCGATCTCTCACTCAATCTACCATATCCCCCTCTCTCTTCTTGTGGAAACCAACAAAAAGAAGGAACAAAATGGAAAGGCAGCAGCGTCGATTGACTCCAGCAAAGGCGGCAACGATGATGCCGCGGGTTGAAGGTGGATTTTCCCTCCAATTGCATGTTGAGATTTAGGGGGTTTTCAAGTATTTTAGTTGGGTTTCTGACTTTGTTTTTCCCTTGGTGTTTTCCTGGACTTGGAGTGGGGTTCCAGGGGAAAGAGGTAGGAGTCGTAGGACTCCTGCTAGTGGCGGAGGGAGAGGGTAACAGGGTGGTATCAAGTTATTATAAATGGTATCATATATATTATTGAATCTCTTTCAAAAACTCGATTTGTTGATACTAAATGGTTTTTTTACAAAGAACATTATTCGAAAGCTAAATCATGAATTATTGATTGGTGTAAGATTTATTATTAAACCTCTATCAACAACTCGATTTATTGATACGAACGGTTCTTGACAAATGAAACAGTACGAGTGTACGATTAATTATATCAATAATTGTTTGGTACGCAAAATGATATTCTTGATATTTTTTTACTACTAATGCATTTTAATTTACCAAAAAATTTCAATTTAAGATTATATTAACAAAAACTATTTTATCATGTGTATTTTTTTAGGTGGATCCACCTTAAACGAAATCCTGGCTACTACGCCACTGACTCCTGCGAACGTTGCCAGCGACAGAAGCGGTGGTGGCGTTTACTTTTTTGGTGAGTATGGCATTTTCCATCAGCGATGGCATGAACAACGAGGGCTCCGGTGCCATTGCAATGAGAAGGAGGCGGCGAGGCTGCCGGCGAAGGGTGGGCGAGGGATTATGGATGGTGAATTGGAATGTGGTGATGAGTTGGGGAATAAGAGTCCTCTTTGGGCTTAATGAAGAGGAAGTAATTGGATGTCAAATGGAGTGAATTGTGTAGAGGAAGAAGGAGAGAGGAAAGAAAAGAGAGGTAGGTGTAGGAATCAGTTCGAGAAGCTGATGTGGTTGGGGAAGATGAAGATGGGGGAAAGCAAGGTTTGACCCTTCATTTTGATTTTATTTTGGTTTTATATGTTTAAAAATTATAAACAAAAATTAATCTGACGTGGAAGGTGATGTGATTGATGATGTGACATTTTCCGTTACAAATTTAGTAACTGTAACAGACTGTTAACCATTAGATTACTCACAACAATAGTTATGACTAATAATTAATATTTTTATAGTAGTGACTTGTGACTATTATTCATCGCTACTTAATAGTTCTGGCTAGTGACGGCAATGGAGCGGGGCGGGTACCTCAATACCCATATCCCGCCTAACGCAACTGCGGGTCGGGGAGGGCAAAATCCGTGCGAGTACGGGGTGGGGCGAGTCGACCCACTCTTATATGTTATTTGAAAAAAAATACACCCAAATTTTACTTTTTACGATAAAACGAAACGGAAAACACTATATGAATGAAAAATAGTGATAATAGAATGGGTAATTGAGTCTAACAAGTTGAAAGATTGACTCAAACTGTTGAATTTGCTGAACTGAACAGAACAAATAAACGACACACATATTTACGTGGTTTCCCCGATAACGGGACTAGTCCACGGGAGATTTCTACCTCTCCGAGATGAGAATATTATTAGGTTTTTTCGTGTGTTCACGTTGGTAGGTTACATGTCTTTTATATACAAAGCATCTCCTCTTCTAGCCCTATACACACGTCGGCTAGGGCTCTATTGGGCTACACAAATATACTACATACATGGGCCAAACAAACCTAACCCAAATCCGCTAACAGCCTCCCCCAAATTGATGACTACTACGTAGCATCAATTTTTCAGACAGGAACCAATGATGAGCACGAGGAAATGGCTTCGTAAACAAATCCGCCAGCTGATCGGCGGAGACCACATACTTCAGTCGAACAACCCCGTGTCGGACCAGATCTTGAATGTAGTGGACATGAATCCCAATATGTTTGGTATGATCATGAAGTACCGGATTTGCTGCAATCTGTATCGTACTCGTATTGTCCACGTACATAGTCATCGGAGAACCACAATGCACATCCAAATCTGCCAGTAGCCGCTGTGACCATACCAACTCGGAACCCACATCTGACATAGCACGATACTCGGCCTCCGTCGAGGACTTAGACACTTTATCCTGCTTCTTGCCCCGCCAGTTAATAAATGCACCACCAAAACGAATACACCAGCTCGTCGTCGAACAACGAGTATCCACACACCCAGCAAAATCAGAATCAGAAAAAGCCTGCAGAGTCAAATCACCAGTTGACGAAGAAAGATACCCACATCCCTCGTACCCTGTAAATAGCGTAATATACGATGAACTGCGGCCAAGTGATCAGTGCGAGGATCCAACATAAACTGACTTACTACCTGTACCGCATAGGAAATGTCGGGACGTGTAGATGTCAAATAGATCAAACTGCCAACCAAATGTCGATATTGGGAGGGATTAGGGAGCGGCGCACCATATGCCTTGGCCAGTTTCAGATTAGCTTCCATAGGAGTAGACACTGAGACACAATCAGCGAAGGCCACTGACGTCAAGAGCTCCGAGATATATTTCTTCTAACTCAGCAAAATACCCTGTGGAAATCGAGTAATCTCAAGACCCAAGAAAAAAGAGAGTGCCCCGAGCTCCTTTAATGTAAACGACTCATGAAGACCCTGTTTAAGTCGTTGAATGCCTGACAGATCATCACCCATAATAATCATGTCATCCACGTATAATAGTAGTACAATAAGCCCAGCGTTCCGACCGATGAGTAAACAATGAAGGGTCATTGAGACTTTGTTGAAAACCAAGGCCGAGAATCATAGATTGAAACTTCTCAAACCAAGCGCGAGGCGCCTGTTTGAGACCATATAGCGATCGCCGTAGCAAACACACCTGATCTGGGCACCCAACCTTAAAACCCGGTGGTCGATGCATATAAACAACCTCCTTCAAATCACCATAAAGAAAAGCATTAGAGACATCCAGTTGAAATAGAGGCCAATTACAAATAGCAGCCACTGCAAGGAGAGTACGAACAGTTTGCATTTTAGCAACCGGGGCGAATGTCTCCTCATAGTCCAGTCCGTACTCCTGACCACAACCTTGAGAAACAACACGAGCTTTAGGACGCTCAATACTACCATCAGCCCGGAGTTTCAATGCGTATACCCACCGAGAGCCCAGAACCGGCACATGAGGAGGAGGCCGATCCACAACAACCCAAGCCCCTTTTGCATGAAGTGCATCTATCTCCACATCCATCGCCTCATCCCACATCGGATCACCATGATCCTGCTTAAAACACGTAGGAACAAAACAACATCAACATTATACGTAACAAAATCATTATACCTCACAGGAAGTTGACCTTGCGTGACCCGATGAGACCGCCGAAGAACAGGCTCTACTGGCGATGATGATGAAGATCCATCAGACAACTGGACGAGGATGAATTAGGGGAGGCCGGCGGCGAACAGAGGGGAGGCGAGTAGGGGGAAGAGTGTCATCAATAGTGTCATCAAGATCATCGGGAAATGATGGCAACCGAACCGACCCCGATAACCAGCCCGAAGAAGACTCCGATTCCCCAGAAAAGTACATTGTCCTTTCAAAAAATATGACATCGCAAGATATACGAAGACGCTGTGAAGAAGAGTCAAAACATAGATACCCTTTATGAACATCATTGTATCCAAGAAAAACACACCGAACCGTTTTGGAGGACAACTTAGTTCGTTCCTTCCTTGGTAGCAAAACAAAACACGTACACCCAAACACTCGGAGCAGAGAATAATCAGGATGCTTCTGAAAAAGCATAAAATGCAGAATATGCTGCCCAAGAACAGGAGTAATTTGATAATTAATAAATCGTACAGTTGTTGCTAACGCCTCAGGCCAAAACCGAGGCGGAACCGAGGAAGCAAGAATTAAAGCCCGAGTTAATTCCACTAGGCGCCTATTTTTCCTTTCAACTAGGCCATTTTGCTGAGATACACCGGGGCATGATTTCTGAGTTAAGATACCCTGATCCCGAAAGAAATAGCCAAAGGATGAGAACTGAACTCACCCGCGGGATCCGAGCGTACCACCTTCACTGTATGCCCAAACTGTGTCAGAATCATCTTAACAAATTCCTGAGCAATGGCAAGCAACTCAGATTTAAGCCGAAGAAAATAAACCCAGGTAAACCGGTTCGCATGATCCACAAATAACGCAAAGTACTTATAACCATGGCGGGACGTATTAGTCGAAGGACCCCAGATCTGTATGTACCACATGAAATGGCTCCGATATAATAGTAGTACTAGAAGGAAACGAACTACGCGTTGTCTTGGCTTCAATACAACTAGTGCAAACGAACTCACCAAAGGAGCTGTCAACCCTTTTATTTCCAAATAATTTATGTTTACACATAGTACTCATTCTACTCGAATGAGGATGACCCAAACGGGAATGCCAAAGATCAATATCCGAATTCTTAACACTTGAGAAAGCCGAAAACAAAGGCTGAGAAACCGACCCCCCAGACACCAAACCCGGCGCCGCAGGTGCTGACTCCGACATACAAGGTTGACCCGACAGCTCCTCCAACTGAAAACTCCGCCCCCATTTACTTCCCCTGCCGATCTGCCTCCCCGTCGTTTGATCCCGAATAAAACAACCAGAAGAATCGAACACAACACGACAATTTTGCTCAGTAAGCTGGCTCACCGAAACCAGGTTCGACACTAATTTAGGAACATGTAATGTACGGGGTAACGATATCCGAGAATCCTGAACATCACCCATATGCTCAACAGATAGGCGAGACCCATTAGCTACTTGAATGGACAAATTCTTAACTGGTTGAGCATCACACATCTTAGTCTTATCACTCGTCATATGATTAAAACATGCGGAATCCATAAGCCAAGGTTTAGATGAAATACCAGACCCATGCATCGTGGAAAACGCAGTGGTAATTGCCGTGGGAAGTGACCGTTGAAGGGCTGCATTTATAAGCTTCTCCACATCAGCTGCAGTCAAGCTTGGGCTATTGGAGGACGTGGTCGAGCTCTCGCCCGAACCAGCTGAGGCCTGAACAGAATAGGCACCCGCAGCAGTCGAGCTCGACGAGTCCTGAGGACGCGCCTTCAGCCGACGACACTCTGATATAATGTGCCCGCCCTTCTTGCAAAACACACAAAAATTTTGAACATTGCAATATTTTTTAACATGACCCACTTCTTGACAGTGATGACAGGTAAGCTCCGACACCGGAACGCGATGCTGAAACTGCGGTTTGCTCACAGCAAACACTTTGTTACCCACAGCAGGAGCTGGAGCTTCAGTGCGACGTGGATGAGCAGCAGCAAAGACATGATCGCCCACTCCAGGCCGTGCATCAAGCTGGGATTGCGTACACAATCTAGTCTCTTCCCGATCCAGGGTACTCAAAACCCCTTCGAATTTGATGTCCTCCCAATTAAGTAACGTAGCCCGAACATTCTCAAACTCTGGCCGAAGTCGCATCAAGAAGTGCATTAGCCTAGCCTGATTTCGTTCAGCAACAACATCTGCCGTCACTGCCGCAGGACGAAGGGAAGCAGTCAGGAGGTCCTGCTCCGTCCACAGCAGTTGAGTAGCCTGGAAATACGCCGTCATATCCAGGTCTCCTTGTTCCAAGCTGGCGAGGGCAGTCTGCAGTTCAAACTGCCTAGCTACACTCGTTGTCGAGTATGTAGAGGCTAGGTAGTTCCACATCTCCGACGCAGCAGTGAATAGCTGTAATCCTAGAGCAATATTTGGATCCACCGATCCAAGAATCCATGTCTTGATACGAGCATTGTTTTGCACCCAGCGCTCGAGCTCCTGTGCAGCGGCCGGTGGGACTTGAGGTCTCGGCAAAGAACCATCCAACAGCGGAAGAAGACCTTTTCCTTCAACAAATATGCGAAACTGGAATTCCCATAACGCATAATTCTTCGAATTGAGCCGAACAGACAGCCGATCAGAATCGGTCACGGAAAGCTCGGATACCATGTTGAATTTGCTGAACTGAACTGAACAAAACAAATAAACGACACACAGATTTACATGGTTTCCACGATAACGGGACTAGTCCACGGGAGAGTTCTACCTCTCCGAACTGAGAATATTATTAGGGTTTTTTTCGTGTGTTCACGTTGGTAGGTTACAGGTCTTTTATATACAAAGCATCTCCTCTTTTAGCCCTCTACACACACGTCGGCTAGGGCTCTGTTGGGCTACACAAATATACTACATACATGGGCCAAACAAACCTAACCCAAATCCGCTAACACAAACTAGTTGAAAAAAGGTCAAAATAGGAGAAATATTTATAGATATTGTAAGAAATTGAGATTGAATGGGTCGAGAACGAGCGGGACGGAGCGGGACGGGTGAGAAGTAGATACTCATGCTACGACCCATACTACTACGGGTCGGGTAATACCCGCCCTATTGCGGATCAAGTTGGATAATAACTGCGAGACGAGTTCAAATTATCATTAGTTCTAGCTAACACAAAATATCAAGCTAGGAAGGAAGGGCGGAGGCGGGACCGGGAGGATGGATGGGGGAATGGGGAAGACGACACATGGCAGGCCGGCTTACCACTACTTCATCCGCACCGTCCCCTCTCTCTCTCTCTCTCTCTCTCTCTTTCGCTTGCTTTATGGCTGCCTCTGCCTCTGCCTCTGCCTGGCTGTGGCTGGGGAGATGGGATTGGGTTTCGCCGCCCCCACAACCACAAAACAAAACGCAGCAAGAAAGGAATGCTGTTACTGTACTGTACAAACCCCATAGCTTTCCTTCGCCTTCTCCTTCTTTCTTTCTGCAGTCTGCTGCACCACTAGTCTGTCTACTTTGTATTATTTGTATCAATCACCCACCTCCACCAAGCGGTACTAACTAATATCTCTCTCACTCATATATATATATTCTAACAATAACAAAAGGCCATTTTGACCGTTCTGCCCCTCCTCTCCTTTCATTCATTTTTTCCACCGTCTCCTCCACCACTTTCAACCACACCCTTTCTTTCACTAGACCCCACCCCATTCTTCCTTCCTCTCTTCTTTCTTTTCTTTTGATTAATCATTATTATTTTGTTTCTACACCATACATAAGAAAGGAACATGGAACCAGGAAGTAATCGTGTGGACTCCGTAGGTTCACAGGATTAAAATATTTGCGAGCGAGCTGCTCTTATTCTCTTCCCTTCCATTCCATGTGTTTCATTAACTAATAAGAGCTTCTTTTTTTTTTTTGGTGAAGATAAGAGCTTCTTTTTTTCTTCTTCTTTAGAATTTTCACCCGGGAGACCATCCTACACCACAATTGACATGTCCATAATTTTTTAAATAAATACTGATTGAACAACTTGTCCATGAGAAAATCAATATTGATATTCGGATAAAACGGCCTTCCCTCCAAGTGGCATTAATTAATTTGCTTCAATACTTTCCACCAAGAACCTCTTCTAATCTAACTTGACAAGGATGGGATTCCAGACTTTCCAGTAAAATACTCATTTTATATTACAGATATTTTATTCGGCAGCTACAGCTCTGAGACTCCAAAGTCAATTCTATGCTCTGCTGGCAATTTCAAATTAAGAATGGGATGGGACGAAAATATAAATCATTAATGGTGTATCCTTAATTTAATTTTCATGGCCATGGGCTGGGCCTGGGCGTCCATACAGAATCTTTATCTTCATTTTAAGCAAACCAAAATCTAAAGGCATCCGATCAGCCTCCCGGGGACAACATCCAACGGACGAGATTCATTACACCACCCACCACCAAAATAATAAACATAAAACAAAAACGAAAAATAATATAAAATAATTGACAGATTTGAGAGGGCCTCGTTGAACCACTTGTTGAACGCAGCCTTGGATGGCAATTCCGTAATATCAACCAAAAAACAAGCCTGTTCCCATAAATCCCCTCACCATCCTCACCTCTCTCTCATCTCATTCTTAATTTAAATTCCATCTTCCCTTCTTCCTATCTTCTCTTCCCCTTCCGCTCCACCACCACCGCCATTCATTCTCACCCGGATTACAGCAGAAACGAGAAGATCTCTCTCAGGATTCGCCCGAGTCATAGAAGATCAAAGATCTCAGTGAATCACTGGATAACAACAACTGAAAAATGAAGATGTGCGAGCTCTGCAAATCAATAGCCAAGACCTTCTGCGAGTCAGATCAGGCCAGCCTCTGCTGGTCCTGCGACGCCAAGGTCCACGGAGCTAACTTCCTCGTCGCTCGGCACTCCCGCACTCTGCTCTGCCACTTTTGCCAGTCGCTCACGCCGTGGCAGGCCGCCGGCGCGAAGCTCGGCCACACCGTCTCCTTCTGCTTGCGGTGCGCTAACGGAGATACTCACGAGGCGCGAAGAGGGGAGGAGGTCGAGGAAGAGAGCGGGAGCGAGGAATCGGAGCTGGATGAAGAGGAGGAAGACGAAGAAGATGAGGAGGATGGGGATAATCAGGTTGTTCCGTGGTCTGCCTCGGCCACAACGCCTCCGCCAGCGACTTCTTCTTCTTCATCTTCTGCATCGGAGAGCGACGGCGGAGAGTACGTCGAATCTAGGAAAGCAGTTTCTGTAAAACGAACAAGGGAGACAGATCTACTATCCTTGCTTGAGGTGTGTTTTGTGTTTCTTAGAATCCTACCATTTTTTGTTTTTGTTTTGCCCCATCTCGCTCTTCTTCCAGTTTTCCGTTCAAATCCTCATTCGAGAATCAAAATGACAGGGTGATATCGTCCGGCGATCTGATCACTGTCAGTCTGCGACTCGGTGTCACGCAAGCGAGTCGACTTCTCTTGACGAGTCGGTGAGACCTTTGAAAAACCGGAGAATAATCAGAACGGCCATGCTCTGCTGCTCCGGCGCAAGATCCGCGGCCATTGAGGAGTGTTTGGCGAGGCTGGATCCCATTAGTCAAAATCGTGTGAGAATTTGTGATGGGGAGGCGATGGTGGCCGTTGATGAAGGAGATGAAGAAGTTTCATCAGAAAATCTCAGCCGTACGATCTGAAGGAGAGATTCGATGGTTGGAGTAGGGCCCCTGATTTTCCTTGGCTCGGGGAGTTGGTTCGAAGGTACCGATGATGGCGTCTCCGAAAATCCTAACAAGAAAATTAATTAATTTAAATCATTGATTAGTTTCATGTTTGTATTAATCCCACTCCTTCCCCATTTAAATTTATAATTAATTATTGCATTAGGCGAGACTTGAGCGAGAGATAGGCATATTCTATTTGATATATAGCTTTTAGATAAGAGGGTTCGTTTGTGTAGGCTGTTAGCTGGTGTTTGGTGTGTAAAAAATGGGTATTGCCGTCAGTGATGGAATGAAATGTATCATCGAGTAGGAATATGAATTTAACATGGTTTGGTTGTTAGTGACAACTCACTCCGAATCCCGATCACTTGCTTTTTATTGCTCTGCTCTCTTCTTTATGTCGGAAATGTCGACAGCTCTGACGGTGATTTTGCTGTAATGAATTAGCATTGAAATGGACTTAACTCCAAGGCAATAACTGATATGATAAGTATTTATCACCTACTTATTCTACGTAGACTTAAAGTGAGGACTGAAAATAGCGGTTCCATCTAAAGGGCAGAGGGGGAGGGCAATAGGACTAATAGGGATCGACCATGACTTGGGAGTTGGGGGGAAAATGTTTAAAGCAGATTAGAGACGGCAATAGTTCGGGCATACATTGCATATTTATAGGTTATCCTATTCAAATTATTTCGAGTTTTACTCATACTCATATCCATATAAGAGTTGAGTAAGAAGTCAAAATTATGTCCATAATATTTGAATTTCGGTATCCACAGTTATTATGAATAATAATTTTTTTATAATTTCAATCAATATGTTAACATTTACATGTACAATCACATTACAGAAGTGAAAAAGTACGACGATAATACACTAGAATAAAAAAATTGATCTCAAACAACACAATTTCATCAAAATATTATATTTGTATGCTAAATATAAAATGTTGAGAAAATGAATGGTTATTTCTATACATATGCATGTGTGTAATCGAGCAGATTCGTGTTGGATAGTGAGAAAATCATGTCTACCCATTACTCGCAATATTCGGGTTCGGGTTTTACCCTACCCGTTAAGGTCGAATTCGAGCGGATATCCACGATTTCAGATATTTTTGTCATCTCTATAGTAGATACACAATAATTAATTGATACCGGAAAGTAGGATGTGTCAAATTGACAATAGTTAATCGAAAAATGTGGTGATTGAATGTTGACAACTTCATTTGTTAATCACATGATATTTACATTTTGTGCTTAACTTCAATTCCATATAAGTTTACTTTTTTATAAGTGAGTGTGTTGGTAACTTATATAAGATATATTATTGAAACTCTCAAACAGTTCTAGACCTGGTCGTAGACTTATATATGTGGTATATATCAGTTCCTTCTAATTCTAAGGGGTAAAAATGAATGAAATCCCTTTATTTCACAGAAAACAGCACACATCCAAATAAACGATCCCTACTACAACACAATCAGCGGTTGTGGTTACTTGGATTGAAGTAGCAGGTTAAACGAGTGGTGCAGCCTCATAAAGGCAACACAGAGAGAGAATACTGGGAAAGGAGAAAAGGGAAGGGAGGAGAAGTGATCGTGCTGTGCTGTGCTGTGCTGTGGCTGGCTAAGATACGAGTTATGTGAAACTTTAAACACCAACCAACCATTAAAACATCACCTCTGCTTGCTTTGATGATGGATGGTGAACAGAGTTACAGAGTGTCCCCAAACAGAGAAAATTCCTTTTTGTATATTATTGTGTTGTGTGTCATTGTTTTGTTTTCTGTGGGCTGTGGGGGAAGAGTACCGACTTAGGAAAAATATCATATATTCATATTGGTTGGGGTAGAAAGAGAGACAGACAGATTTTCTTCTTCCATTGATCATGTGGCTGCAGTTTCGGCCTTGCGATTTTACTGGCCACAAATTGGAACACTCACAAACAGCCCTTTTGAAATGAAACCCACTTCTAAACTTCTAACCCCCTGATTTGGGGAAGTTGGATAGGTGATTGCGTGCAACTTTTGTTGTTTTCCCCTGCATGCTCTGCTCTGCTCTGCTGCGATCGAACTACTGGGCCTCCCTCCTTCGGTCAAAATTGGCAACCATTGATTATGATCCACTCAAATCCCAAGTTGTTCATTATTTCCCTTCTTTATGACAAACATAACAGAAGCTATCTAGCCCCCACACAAATCAATATCCAATGTGTGCAAGAAAAAAAAGTGTGAACAGATTCGTTAGCGCCTGCCTTATAATCCCTAATTAGATTAAGGTTGTGGTACTATTCGATGATATTCTTGGAGCTCTTCTTACTTAACTTCTTTTTTAATAAGGGCGATCGGTGCTATTCAAGTGTTTTGTGCACCAACTGATTGATGGCGTGCATCGAACTCATGATTTTGCATGTGTCGAACAAACAATGCTATTAGCTGAGCTGCCCATCTTTCGCATGTGTCGATATTCTTGGATCTCCTCTTACGTACTTGAGTTAGCAGCGAAGCGATTGAACATTGACACAAACAAAAGGACAATTCAATAACGTCATCGTGTATTGAACAACAAGTATGCTTCGAGATGATATTCAAATTCTTTCTGAAATAGTTATTGAAAAACAACAATAAGACCCAATTTTACATTTAAAAAAAACACATAATGTTTTATTGCTTAATAAATTTATTATCCTCGTCCCATGTGAAGATTGTTTTGGTGAAGCGCCAACTAATCTCTTGTACCAACGCAATTACATTATAGAGAGGTTAGTGGGAATTAATAGCGGCGTTGGTGGTAGAGGTGGAGATCTTTGCTTTGGTGCTTGGGGTTCATTTTCATGGTGGAGAGCCGATCTGAAGGTCGCCATCAAGGCAAAGGGATGGGAAGGGGAAGTGGGGAGGTCAGATATTTTTTTGGGTGTTTTGTTTTGTTTAGTGGAATTGTTTTTATGGTTGAGGAATAAAATATCTGTGTGGGGACGGATTGATTGTGTGGCCCGGCGTAGCCTTGCACATCAATGGTATATATTGTGGGATGATGTTGGAAGGATGAATGGTGATCTTAGATAGATGTGAGCGAGAAACACGTATTTGGATATATTCATATTTGTTCCGTTTTTTAGAGTCATGAGTACTCAAATATCTGTAATTTTTTTTTCCGGGATGAAACTTGGGATAAAAAAAAGTTCTGCAGTGGGTACTCACGGGTAACCCGTTAATACCCGTTTGGGTATTACGGGTACTCGTACTACCCGCCAAGACAAAGTATCCACAATCTCTATGCTCTGAAATTAATTGAGTTACTATTTGGTTTACAAATTTATCTAGGAATATGTTTGTTTATCAATATGTTGATTGGTTAAGTGTTAAAAGTTCAAATGGATGATACAATATTAAATGCAACACTCGGTTGCTTCTCCTTCCTTCTGGGAAATTATTTTAGGTCCCGTTTGGATGAGAGTTTTCTGTAAGAGATTTTGGCACAATCTCTAACAACGGGGAATTTTAATAAAATTACTCGTTTGGGATAACGCTTATACAATGAGAGACTTGAAACATCATAGATTTCAAAAACCCTTATACGTGGGTTTTTGAAATAGCTAACGAGCATAGGCTATTTCCAAATCTTTCGTCTTTTATTTATTTTTTCCATGGTTCAGGAAACCGTACCGGACATCATATCAGATTCCTCTCTGGTATGGTATTTTGGGGTACGACCGTGGTTCAACCGTTTTGTACCGGTGAATACCGTTTTGTAATAATAAAATATATATTTTTGTCAAAAAACGTATCGGCCAAAACATAGTACCGTCTCGGAGTAATACCTGAATAAAAGAAAAGAAATCCCCATCCCCATATTGGCATTGATTTCCCATATTCAGATATTCTACCTCCTCTCTCTCCTTCTTTCTCCCACCACCTCACCATCAATCAATTTCCCACACCCATTCTCTCTCCCTCTCTCGGCTCCTTCTCCCTGCACGCTCTCACTATCAAAATCAATTCAATATCCCCCTTCATCACAAAATCACAATCCTCTGCCTTCCAAACAAATGGAGCGCCAAATCAATAATAAGAATGGAGGCTCTCAAGAATGATTGTGCGGGAAGGGAGCGCCAGAGGCCGGAGAGGAAGGGTATAGCTCGGGCCTCGTGATTGATCTCACAAATCTTACTGAATCCTGCCTTTTTCCTTCGCCGTTGCGGGGATTTAGTCGGATTCTTGATCGATCTCACAGATCTGGTCGATCTCGAACAGGGGAGGAGACTCGGCAGGGGAAGGAAACTCGAGCAGGGTATGGAACTCGACGCGGCGGCGTTCTTGAGAAGTCAAGCTCGTCGCTAGAGGTAGGGGTCAACTAGAGAATAAAAGAAGAGCGGCGAGGCGGGACGTGAAACTGGAGAAGAACCAGCCGCTTCGATAGTTCAATTAGGGATTAGGGTTTGGCAGTGGGTTTTTAATTTTTTTATTTTCTTCATTTTTGTTGCAAAAACAGCAGCGTTTCATTGTGAATAGCTTACCGCCGGTTGGAACAAAACCGGGTGGTATTTCGTTTCAGGCCGGTTAAATCGAAAAACTGGCCGATACGATAATTCTGCCACTAAATGCGTGTCATTCCGTTTTTAGTCCAATTCCCGGTTGAACCGGCCAGTACGATCTGGTTTCCTGGTCCTTGATTTTTTTCCAATGTGTGCCCTTCATTCCAGTTCGTCCCACAACCTTTCTTCTTCCATCCGACAGCGATGACAGCGAGAGTGCGAGGGTGGTCAGCTTCTTCCCAATCTTGCCAGCCACCTGCCTCCACTCCATCTTTCAACTCATCTCGTTGGCGTCCCTCACCGGATGGCATCTCCATCCTACTCGTATAGAAGCCTAGTTGGCAAACTCATATATCTCACAACAACACGACAGACATAATCTTTGTTACTCAGCAAGTTAGTCAATACGTGAGTTCTCCATCTGTGATTCATAAG